ATCATTAGATTAAATGCTGGCTTTGCCAATATTGTTATCAACGTCTTAACTTGAGAGTAAGAAACTTGACAGTTACTTAAGGGCCTATCCTTAATAGTAGAAAATATATACAGCTCAGAGCTGAATTACTGGGTTCTTAGTATTCCCATTTATCGTTACTAGGCAAGACAGCACATTGAACTGCTAATGACATCCAGCCGATAAATGAAAAACAAGTTCACAGATTACTAAAGTCCATTCATTTACCAATATATGCCAGGCCCAGATGTTTTCCCTCCAAATAATGTGTTCCTTTAACAAGAGCTAGGTAGGGAGACTTCCATTGCCATGATAGTAATACCGTGTTTCCCCCAAAATAAGACTGGGTCTTATATTTATTTTTGCTCCAAAAGACCCATTAGGGCTTATTTTCAGGTGATGTCCTACTTTTTTCATGTACAGGAGGCAGTGAGCATGCAGGAGCTGATGGTGTCCGGCAGCAGCTGCAGCCCGCCGGCCCCTTGGCCAGTGCACTATGGGGTTGGGCAGCCTGTGCAGCGCAGGTGAGTCAGAGAGTTGTGACTGCTGGGCCAGCCCTCCAAGCAGCAGGCAAAGGCAGAGGTACGGGGGGGGGGGAAGGCACGCAATCCGGCCCACCAGATGCAGCAGGCCTGCCCATGGTGCATCTGGTGGGCTGAGTTGCCGGACCTCTACCTCCGCCTGCTGCTGGTGCTGCCACTGCGAGGCAAGGCAGGTGGTGGGACGGGGGTGGCCTGGCTGCAGGACCCGCTCGCTCACCTGCCCATCTCACTCCACCTGCCAGACACCCGCTGAAGACACGCAGGGCAGGGTAGGCGTTGCCGCCCGGTCCTTCAGCTGCCCCCACCTGTCTGCATCACTCTTCTCGCGTGAAGGGCGTGTTCTGCCAGCACTGCTGCTGCCTCCAAGCAGCTGTCCTGGTAAACCCACGGGGTGAGGGGGTGGCAACCTCACTGATGCCGGGCTCTGAAGCCGTCCCCACAGCTACTTTCCCTGGTGCCCTCTCCCGTGCCTCGTCCTTGCAACTAGTCTGCAAGAGGCAGAAGGAAGTGGCAATGGTGGTGGCGGCGGCTTCTGAAATTGATCCAGGGAAGAATGGATGGCTGAGGAAGCCCTTCTGCAGTCGGCGAAAGAGCCAAGTGGCAATTGGTCGGGGAGAAAAAAAGGCAAGGGTGTGTGTGAAGAAATCTTCCTCTTGGTTGCTTCTTATGGGGAGCTTCTGGCTGCACGGGTCACAGCGAGAACTCGGAAGACCCGGTCTGGCTTCCGAAGGCACAGGGCTGGCTGTTGGCTGGAGCTGAGGCATCTTTGGGAAGGGTCCCATCCCCCTCCCCCAGAGACCTATGGATCCCGCACCCCGGCCCCCACAGGTGCCCCCTCCAACGCAAGTGACATGGAGCTAGCCACCCACCCACCCCCGCAATCACAATATTAAATGCCTCCGTCTGGCTGATGATCTTAACTGGGGCTTATTTTCGGGGTGGGGCTTATATTACGATCATCCTGAAAAATCATGCTAGGGCTTATTTTCTGGTTGGGTTTTATTTTCGGAGAAACACGGTAGTTTAAACTATATACTGCTCTATCCTACAGGGCCTCAAATAATTTGTTCAGCTGTACTGTACATTCCTAGCAAATCTTCAGCCCTCCCAGTAGCATTCTCTATGGCAATACATGGCTCAATCTGAAGTTTTGGGGCTTAAAAGGTCTGTGACTGTGTTGAAATAACACTAAATCAAAATGACACAAACCACACTACGGTGTATTATGTTCTCTGTGTATGATCTTCAAAGTTGGAAAGTGTTTTTCTAACCCACAAACTACTGTAGATATATATATGAAAAATGTTAAGAATGCATGCAGTGATAACAGATAAGCATTTAACTGTGTAAGTATTATACAGTTAAATATTTTTATTATTCAATAAATGTAACATTTTTATAAAAGGATTATTATTATGCCTCTTTTCTACCAGATTTTCAGTTCTTATTTCTGGATAATGGTTAGGCTATGCAAAGTAGGCCAGAAAGAATATGCCATATCAATTATATGATATGCCATATCAATTATATAAACACTTGAATACAAAAATGCATCAAATGTAAATCCAAATCGTTCTACATCTTTTCATAGGTTAATTCATGACCACATGTGCTGCAGATCTTTCTGTACGTATCATCATCTATCATTTCTTCAGTTCCATAGTCATGTTGGTGGATACTTGTGTCTTTTTTCCATAAACTACTTCTTACAGCTCGCCGTAATTCTAAATAAGGAGCACAGTAGTTAAAACACGCACACACACACAAATAAATAAAATCAATTAACCCCAATGACACTCTGTATGTGCTCTGAATGGGAGTATTGTATTGTATTCCAAAACATAACTAGGGACTGAATCCAAATTATTTTCATTAATGTTCTGTTTTTGAAAGTGAATGTGCAGATGGAATTGGGATGAATCTAGAGTGATTTTTAAAATCCATTAGATAGATCAGAGGTCCCCAACCTTTTGGGCACCAGGGACCGGTTCCATGGAGAGAGATTTTTTTCTGTGGACCGGAGGGTGCGTGGTTTTGTATGCTGCCTGCATCCCGCGGATGGGGCTTTGCTTGTTTGTGCGGACCAGTTGCTGGCATGCCACAGCCCGGTACTGATCCACGGACCAGGAGTTGGGGACCCCTGAGATAGATGATAGTGATCATAAAAAGCAGACATAAAAGAATGTAACTCTTTCTCTGGATTTCATATATTAAGCCCCTCATCTTTCAGCCAGTGGGGCGTCAGTCACCAAGAGTATGATGAGTGCAGTAAAGCTGGCTGGTTGTGTGTATGTGTGGGTGGGGGTGGGTGGGTTGGCTACTTGCAGAATTCCAATTTACCTGACAGTTCTGCCATCCTTTCTAGCTCTCCCCCCCCTCCCAATTAGCTTTCCTTTTTCTTTTTGAAAAATAAGCACTAATATGAGACTTGAGTTCTAGTCTGATTTGGACACAAAGGCAGCTGGGTGACCTTGTGCCAGTCCCTCTCACTCAGCCATGGGAAGGAGGCAATGGCAAACCACTTTTGAAATCTTTGTTGCAAGGGCTTTTCCGGGCAATTGCCAAGAGCCAACATTGACCCAAAGGCACTAAAAAAAAAAAAAAGAAAAGCACTGCTATAAACAGTTGCATCCACCCGACATTTTTACTTTTGAGTCAAATATACTGGGTCTGAGTGGAATCCAAGAATGTTGTTTGAAAGAAAGCTAATTTGTGGAGACTAGTACACTGTCCTGCAGTAGAGAGGGGGGAGGGAGGTTTACATTTACCTTTAACTTTTTTATCAAATTTTTTCTGTTTCATCTTCTCTCTGTTATCTTGGCGGTTTTCTTTAGCTTCTTCTAATGCTTCCTCACTACCCCAAACTTCAAGGGAGCGCTTAATTACCTGTAAATACCAAGCATCATTTGAATAAGATTTAGGGGACTAGAAAGAAATGGTTAGATCAGCTAGGGCAGGGGTAGGCAACCTTGGCTCTTTTATGACTTGTGGACTTCAACTCCCAGAATTCCTGAGCCAGCCATGCTAAGGAGAAAGGGAGAGGTTTCCAAGCTGAGCCATGTTGGCTCAGGAATTCTGGGAGTTGAAGTCCACGAGTCATAAAAGAGCCAAGGTTGCTTACCCCTGAGCTAGGGCTACTATATCTAGGCTACAAAAGCTTGGGGAAACATTAGCTGGCAACAAAAGATTTTCTGTATGTGTTGCCTCATGGAATTTTGCAATCCTGGGAGAAAAGACCATCTCAAGGAAAACTTTATATGCAGTAATGTCCCAGCCCCATATTTGTGTTGGCTACAGTACAACAAAGAAGGGGTCTTGTTCTCAGCTAGCTCTCTTCAGCGAAGAATATCGGGCTATCTTCACTTACTACTATTTTCATTCAGAATCTGTGGGGAAAGGGCTGTCTTATTTAAGAAGATTCTTTTCATTGAAGAATAGCAATTTATACGAAGAAGCAGTCCCGTTTACTTTTTCTGACAATACTACAATAGAAATGAACGCTTGTGGGAAACAGCATGGCAATCGTGCAACAGATTCAGA